GTTTTAGTATAATCCGTATTTCGCAATCGAAACCGTTTCAATTAAAATCATCGCTACATCATGTATCCGAAGGGACCCATTTAAAAAGCATTTGCTCTACGAAGATTAATTTATAAAAAGACCGACGTATCCGACGCTCGTTAAAATTTTCTTCCCGTTCTCGCGCACAATCGCGCAATTTCCACGCGATATTCAGAACGCTAATGACGCTCGCACGCGCCTCGTGTCATCATTTATCCCCTGCTAAAAATTTGTATGTAATTTCAATCCTTCTGTGGAAACGAAATTCGTTAAAAAAAAAGACAAAAGAAAAAAAAACGAAACTTAAATCAGTAGAGAAGGAGAAGAAAGTAAAAAATTGATAAATAGAATTAAGTGGAAAGAAAGGGAGAAAGAAAGTTTCGTATCGTAGAATGATTTTGGTAGTACCTGTTGAAAGTTTTCTTACAAAATTCACAAACGTATGGCCTGGCGTCGCTGTGTATCGCCTTGTGCTGGCTCAGAGTCGACAACTGCCGGAAAGCTTTGCCGCAAGCCTCGCATTTAAAGTTTCTCTCGTCGGTGTGCGTTGGCAAATGCCTCATCAACGTGTACTGATGCCGGAACTCCTTCGAACCTGGATCGAATGTCAAAACTTTGAACCGATTTTCTCGCGAGTTTCTTTTTTCTTTTATCTTTTAAAAATAACGAATCGTGCATTTTTTTTTTTTTCAAATTTTGAAAACGTTGGAAGTGCTTCGCCGGCACTTTTCCAATTTTTAAAATTTGTTGTGAATTGTTGAAAATTTTCAAAATGTAAACGAATTACTAACAAATTCCGCATTCCCAGATTTTCAACGTCTTTCCATCTCGCTTCAAATATTTCACGAAATGAAGTTTCGATCTTGGATCATCTTTATCGATCAGTCGAGTGGAAGACGATGAAGGTCCTTCGACAACTGGATGCGAGTACACCATAACGTTGTCGTTGGACGAATTAACATTTTGATCGAGAATCTGTAAAAAGAATATACATTTTTCAACTATGTCTAGGTAAAAAAAAAAAAAAAAAAAAAAAAAAAAAAAAACAAGAGGAGAGAAGAAGGAGGAAAGAACGAAAAGAAAGAATGAAAGAATGAAAGAAGAAAAAGTAATTTTTAATTTTTTACTTTATATTTGAAAGCATCTTTCCCGAGAAACTTTGTCACAGCACCGTCAATGTTAATTACTTCAGAATCTATAGCCACATTTAGGTTCATGCAATCACCCTGGAAACAATTAAACCGAACCTTTGTACGAAATATTTATGATGTAGAAAATTGCATGCGCATACGTATGTGACGTTATTAATAATTACAGTTAATAAAGGAAAGTTAATTGTCAATTCACCATTCATAATTACCTGAATTAATTGATGATCATTTGTGGACGGCAAACTCGGTACGACGGTGACATCGTTCCTCCCTTCAGAACCTGCAGTTTCCTCTTTCACGTAAACTTCATAAACGCTAAATAAAAAATAAAACGTCAAACATTTATTCCAACTTTCACTATTAACAAAACGATATTTCTAATCTTTCTTGTTTTCAATTTTTGCAAACAAATTCAAAAATCTTAAATCCAATTGCAATTCATAGTAATTGTTTGGCAAAGCTCACCTGATGACTTCATCCGGGATAGGACGAGTGAATTGCACCTGCGAATCCTCGTACTGGGTCTCCCCTAAAAAATTGAATATCGTTTTCATAAAGATATCTTTGAAAGTGAATATAATCCGTTTTATATTATGTGAATTATCCTTTTATATTAAAATTATAATTCCATGTTAAAATTGTATACATCGATTATTATTTACGTTAATTAATATTGATTATCGCGTGAAAGATTAATTTCACGTTTTAAATTTTCGTTTCGTGCATCGATATGGAAACAGATTATGCGTCATTCAGATTACTTTTCGAACAATTTTACTGGAATTGAAAGATCGTTAAACAGCCAATATTTCTTCGTTTCGAAACTCTTGAGAATCGAGAATTAAGAAGAAGAAGAAGAATCGTGCATATGTTTGTTTTTCTATCTAGAAAAGCTTTTAAGATTCTTTCTCCGAGAAAAAGGAGCACGATATTCTTATTTACTACTATCTAATATCTCTCGTGAGAAAATAATTCTTTTCTCTCTTCCTCTCTCTTCATTTTTTTCTCCTTTTTTAACTTCCTATTTTTTAACTTTTTCCTTTCCTTTTTCTTTTTTTTTTTTTTTTTTTTTCTAATTCAGTAAACCATCGCCTGCTGCAACTGCTGTTACTTACCGTTTTCTGTATGCTCTTTGTGAAATTAGATCGTGTCCAACTAAAAGAATTTATAATAGCTACGAATGAATAAATCGTGTTACTTATGTTATATTGACTAGAAGTGTTGAGTGTTTCGAGGCACATTTTTCTTTTTGGATTTCGATGAAATCACGATAGCGATTGTGCTGCTCCCACCAGTTGCAACAAGATTGATCGATATTCGAATTTTCTCTCCTTTAAAAAAACGTTCTTTAATAATAGACCAACGACAGTTAAAACGTCGAGTCACGACGAGTTTCGACGAAGAGAATAATCTTATTGTAAAATGTGAATACCAATTTTTCTTTTTTTTTTTTTTTATTCATTTCTATTATTTATCCATTATTATACGTTGTATTTACATTCATTCAACCTTTTTTTTTAATAATCAATGAACAATTTCAAAACTTACTTTGCTTATTTATTTAAAAAGAATAATTCTAACGAAATAAGCAATATAAATTTTTCCATTTTCCACTTTTGCATATCCAATTTTTGATCGTATCGTATTAATTTTTTTTATCGATATTTTATTATATACGGGGAGGAAAAAATTCATTTTCAACTCGTTTGACGACAAAATACGAATAATTCCAATTTTAGAAAATTATTTCGTCAAAAACTCCGAATCGCGAGAATTGTCGCGGAACGAGATTGGAAAAAAACGGTTTTCATCGAATACGAAATGTTATTCCAACGGAATGATGATCCGCCGGTTGAGTGACACTGATTTAAATGGAACTAGCGATACAGGTGCCTTTTGAAACAATGTAACGCTTTCGTCGAACGTCCCGTCCACCCAGAGCCTGAGACAATGTTGCTTCCGACCGCACCAATATTCCACGATACCATCACTCGTACGACTCACTCGTCGTTCCACTTCTATCTGTCTGTCTGTCGTAAACCTATACACTGTGTACGATATATATATATATATTCGAGAGAGAGACAAATTGTAAATAAATAATAAATTGTTAACGAACTGCGATAACTTGTAAAAAAAAATTCTAAAAAAGGTGAGTATGCCTTCGTATGTGACGAAATGAAAATGAAGAAAAATTTATTGGAGTTGGAAAATATTTTGATGAGCAAGAATGAACGAAAACGCAAAAAGGGGAAGGTATACGTATAACGTGATAATATAACGTGTCGTTTCGCGAAATAATCGGGATAATAATATTTCCACTTCGTTCTCCCTTTTTGACCGTTTAAGCCTTTTGCAGTTAAAAAGGAAAAAA